TGTTATTTCAATAAAGAATTACAAAGTCCAGAAGGAGGATGGAACGGCAACATCAGTGCAAATCTGTTTATGCGCCGTTGTGGCGGAAGCAGCACAGCTGTCAAATTGGGCCGCGCGAGGTATGTCTGCAGACAGAGCAGCAGTGAGATTCTCACGGAGGACTCCTCACTAATGGATTCCAGACCCCTGAAAGAAATGACCCAAATACTCAGTGAATCAAGGCGTTTGGCAGACAGAGCAGTGGAGAGGTGGCGTTGCTCACACAGAGGTTCTTATTATCTCAGCTTACAACAAAGCTCAAAAAGAGCAGTGTTTCACCCGGCGAACGTCATGTGTCTGAAGTGTATGTGTATGAAGCTCTGTCAACTTCAGATGTCAGATGTGTCATATTTATCACTTTGTAGTGTTCCGTTTGCTGCTACACTCCAATAAAAGGTGAATATTTGTACATGTAGAGTTGCCATACAAGTATGACGTACTCATTCTCAGGTAGCTGGTAACAGCTTTGGCTTATTTAATGATGTTCTAGAAGAACAGAGGTCCCCGTGCTGTCATAGACGACTGGCCAATCGTTAAAAGGAACCAAACATTTACTGATCCTGACACAGATGTGCTCTGTGCTCAGATTGACTTAATGGATAAAGAAGCCCCCAACCAGCTGCAACAAAGCAGGAGTAGGAAGGCCCAACCCAGTGGGGGAGATGGAGGGGGGGATGCAGGAGGAGGGTCTCCAAGCAACAGCCAGCGGTGGCATGTACATTCAGCTATTGACTTAGCCTTTATTTGGAGCCCTTGTGTGCTTGTCAGATCCCCGACAGCAATCTCCTTGCAGAGCGAGGACCTCTGTCGTGCCTGCGCGTCTCTATCTCTCCCTCATGTCTTGAAACATTATTGCTGATGTGAACTCATCAGCCTACAAAGGAAGTGCACGTCTGCTTTGCCTTTGAAAATGGAATCACCCCCGTCTGCCTTTACTGTGGTGTCAGGCACAGCTTTTTGAATGGCTTCGAGATAATGGAAGTGTTATCTTGGAGCGTTTGTGTAGCACATGAAATGTGGGTAACCTAAGCCGAAGTTGAAGGAAAATGAGCCGTTGTTTACCCTGGTGTCGGTCATCAGCCACATCGAACCAGGTTACAAGCCAAAATGATCTTTAATCAAAAGCAAGCGAAACACATCAGGAACAGCAGGTTCGTCAAAGATTGCAGGATATAAATTATGCAAATAAATAAGATTCTTTGATATATAATTGTAAAGTTAGTAACAAAACAAAAAGTAGTGAGAATGGCTGGGTTCTTTGCACACCTGTTCTGAATGGCTGATTACTATGCCTTTACCTTTATATGATAATGAACCCCTGCCTGCCACCCAACTCTTCCATAGGGGAAGACCGAAAGTGGCCTTCAGTTACCATGGCAACAGTTGTGCAGTAAGAGGGGAAACTGCTGCTGGTAACACTCAATCGTGTAATTAGGTTTGACAGGCGCAGCCCAATCAAGTGTTGCTCTTTTGTTCCTGTGTGTACTAAGGTAGCATATGCCATGCAGGTTCCGTTCAGTTGTATTTGTCTCAGCCAGAGTCGGACCTAAACCAAGAATAAGCTCCAGTCAAGGCAAGTCAAGAATGAACCCGGGGTGTTTTACAGTAGTCTGTTGTTGGTTTTTTACTTCAACCATAGTGTTATTGAAATGTCAGTGATATTGGGTTGTGTTGTTAGATGTGTTATAGGTTGGCTCAATACCTGGTCTTTTCGTTTAGGTGCGTGCGTTATGTAGGCAGGGTCCGTGATGTGTGAAGAGCGCAGTGTCAGCATGAGTCAACTGAGACACTGGCTCTGATCAGGACCTTTCTAGTTTTACTTGTTTACATAAAACTGCATGGATTGCAAATAGGACGTGGCTCTCTTTAGTGCAGTAGCTGTTACGATAAGTTGAAATGCTTCCCAGCTGTCTCCAGAAAACCAATAAAGATACATTTTCAGATTTTGGCATTTATAAAAAGATCAAATTCGTTTTGGAAAACTGGCAGTTGAAGAGTAGGCAGGCACCCCAGAAGTGAAAGGACGCGGCAAGAGAGGGATGGTTAATAAATATAAAATAACAGTGCTTACTGGGGATTTTTATTCCTTAGAGACATTTTTCTCTTCTATATATATTTAATACAAAAAGTAACTCACGTATTTGGTAGATTTAAGGGTTTGTATTAACCTCAAGAAAAACGTATTTGTTTGATGATGACAATACAGGCTTGGAATTCAGCTGAAGAAAAACTTTATTATTAAAATAGTTCACTCTTTTAGTTTGTTATTTAATGACCAGAACAGTGCCATCTTGTGCCAGAAACTATCCATTGCCACTTGAGACATTATTGCCTGATTTAAAGTTTTCATGACACAACAGGCAGATGTAGTAACAGCTGGACCTAAGCAACAGACAACAAAGCGGCTTGTCCTGACTTTGGACAGTTGTGATAGGCTGTACAAGAACAAGCTGCCGGCTATCAAATGTCAACAACCGTCTGTGTGGGGTTATAAATCCTTGAGTGCCTGCCAAAACAAACTAAATCATACCTGTCAATATCATAGTACAGTCAATAAACTGTGTGTACATGTAAATGTTTAATGTGAGCATGAAGTATCATCTGTGTTGTTAGTAGTCCAATAAAATAAACAGTAATGATTGGTTACTTTATTATGTAGAGCTAGGTGTGGTTTTGTAAGATAGTGACACATGACCATGGAGCAGAAAAAAAAAAAAACACACTGGTGCTTTGATGACTCAACTCAACATCTTCATTGACTCAATGAAGAATGATCAGCTCCTGTTGCAACAGTGAGATCTTATAACATTAAAAAAAGGCCGAGCTATAGTAGAAGTAATCAAAAGAGAGAACGGACATTCAGTTCCTCTCTCATACCTGCTGGTCAGTACTGGTCAGTCTTAGTCACGCATTTCAGGATCAGACAACTTTTCTCGATTTGCTTCAAAAGTATGTTTTGCTACAGATACTCCAGATAATTAAATGACCTGTTGGATTCAAGTTTAACATGCATCGTGCTTGTGTGCCGTAAGTAAGGGGTGGTTCAATAAAACAGTTTCATGTCTGATACGGATACTGCAACTTGGAGCGTCTCCAGATACCACTATCAGTCCAATCCCTTCTTTTCTCCTCCAGCATGCCGTTGCTGAGGTATTCGTGTACCTGTTTACGGCGCAAAATTAAGTCGAGCATTTGGGCTTAGGTATCCGATCAAACATGGTATAGTTGTTTTTTTTTGAGAATCGGATCGAGCCGTCAACAGCTATAACAGCTATTTTTTTGTACTGCTGAATTAGAGCAGAGTAAAAGCATTTTTTTGCACATTCCCCAAGAAACCCATTGAGTTTTTAAACAATCATATAAACTTGGAGTTCGACCACTGGAAATGAAATGTCAGTCTGACAGAAACTATGCTTTTGACCAGACCAGACCAGAGATAATTGGCCCTGACCTAAACATGTTAAAGTCAGACTTCCACACCCACATAATGGGCTTTTGTAAGTAAATAATCTATCCTCCCACATGTGTGTGCTGTAACAACGGGAGAATTCAAAGAATTCAAAAGGCCCAGGCTGGTTGGAGCTGAGGTTTAACTGACATTGTCCTGCTGATTGGCAGGGCTATGCCTGGTATTGAAAGTTTGTTTTTATTTTAACCGTCCGTTGTTTTAGGGTAGTGTGAAATCACTCTTTGCCTCCCATTACTGGTTAATCCCTCAGAGCTGAGCCAAAAACCTGTCTTCACTGTAGCTACAGCTCACATGTTTGCACTCACATCTATTTCAGCCATTAGCTGAAGGCTGGTGTTAAACAACATCCCTGGTAATTGCTGAAAAATCAGGGTGATTGTTCATTGTCCAGAGACATGTGATCTGGACATTGTTGCAGTCTACTCCTGGCTCTGGACCAACGTTGAGTCTGATCACAAACAACAGTGGGGGAGGGCTAACCATTAATATGGAAATGGCATTAATTACCAGGCCCATACAACAGATGTGACCTTCAGCCTCCAATCGGCGTTAATAAACACTCATCTCATAAGAAGCAAAAGCACTGGCTTGAATATGAAATGAACACCAAGGTCTTCTACAATTTAAAGCACTCCTTTATTCATGTCTTTGCTTTGATTACGGCAGTAATAAATCCAATTTTTCAATTCAACATTTTTATGATGATTAGATGTTCAGGTCAGACAACAAATAGGACTCAACAGATTTATAAGATCTCAGAAACACCCAGTTATAAAATAGGGTTTTTGAGTTAGAAAATGAAGGTGTCTTTGGAGCAGTGAGTAACAGGTACGGTCTTCGGTTTCTGCTTCCGGTGTCTGCACGACACTTGACCACAAGTTGCAAATGATACTCCTTCTCGGAGACCACAGAAGAAGACAGCAGCAAGTGATTTTGTCATCGGTGTGACATCGAAAGACAAAGACAATCAAGCCTGTTCCGTTACTGCTCTAGATCTGTCACATTCACTTTGTCGACCAGGGAGTGTTTTTTTAAGCATTACAAATAAAATGTCAACTCAAGGCTGTGTTGTCTAGTTTCATTCTAAGCTGTGTTAAAAAGTATTTATTTATTCAAAGGACCCTGACAGCACCCTGATAGAAAAACAAACTCTTTTTTTTTAGCATTTGATGAAATGCTCTTAAATAGCCCTTAACTTCATTTAATAGCCCTTTGAGCCCATTTAATTTAAAGCACATTTAATAGTGCCTTTTGGGTGCCCTCTAGCCGGGCCTTATGGGAAACAGTGGCTCTCGTCCAATGTCATCTTGTTGGTTTTGATTATTGATTGGTCGGGGCACGGCGTGAATGTATGTCCCTGTCATGGACTTGTTTGACACAGTGAGTGCCACCGACTGGAAAATGTAAAGAGTCTATGGCTAAATGTGTTCGTATCTTGATGTTGAATTAAACACATGTCAACATTACTAACATGTAACCTCTTCTTCTTTAGCGCTGGACCCAAAGGAGACAACATCTATGAGTGGAGGTCGACCATCCTCGGGCCCCCAGGCTCCGTGTACGAGGGAGGCGTCTTCTTCCTGGACATCGCCTTTACGCCTGATTATCCCTTCAAACCCCCCAAGGTCAGCAGCCAGTAAATGTTACTGATGGAAGCAGTGTCACCACATTTACTTTCCTGAAATGATCTGCTACTGCCATTTTTTTTTTTAAGTTTAAAGATGTTTCCTGTAAACACGGTGCTGTCGGGATTCTAAATGGAATTCTGTTTACCAAAAAAGGTTAAAGGTGATTTTGACACTTGGCAAATGAGACACTGAAAGAGCAGACAGTGCCAGAGGTGTCGACTACGATCTGCAGCTTTTTCCGATCCAGCTGCTTCTTCTCTGCCGTTCCCTGTCTGCGCAGTGTCCTGACCT